GAATTTTGGATTTAGGCCAAAATCAAATGGATTTGAGGGTTCACCAAGGCCAATTGATGGTTGATTTTGATGTTTAGGAATGTTATAAATATTTTTCAACATTACTTGGGGCCCATTGACTAGATTATGGGTTCAATTTGGTGAGATTAGTTAATGTGACCAAAATTGGGGGTTTGACCTATACCAAAATTGGGCTCAAATCATGGGCCAATTAAGCTTGGATTTGGTCTAGTTTGACCATATCAAAGGTGAATTTGAGTTTAGGATTGAAATTGGGATAAATTTGGATCAAATTGATGAACATTTGAGTTGAATTTGGGGAAATTTGGGCCTTTAAAAGGCAATTTGGGGGTTTTGATCAAAGATGGTCAAATTGGCCAAATTGGGTCAAGTGATAGTTGAGGAAAATGAAATTAGGAATATTTGGGAGGTTTTGGGAATTCTTAGGATCTTTTGGAATTTTTGGAATTTTGGACCCAAGGGGGTATTTTGGTAATTTGGCCAATTTGGGGATTTTTAGTAATTTTGGTGTTTTCAAGATGTTTGAAATGATTTTTGAACAAATTTGGGTATTTTGGCTAGATTTGGAGGTTTTGGCCAAATTTGGGGTTACAAGGGTATGTGGGTAGTTTGGGGAATTTCGGGGCAAAATGCCAGGGTGGGGATCTTAGTCGCGTCCACCATTAATAAACCATGGACCAATCGAAACCCCATTTTGGGTCCTCTATGTAGTGGTCTTAGCCAAACCCAAACCTAGGGCTAATGGGTTTAGGGGACCACCTACAGGAGTTTCTCAAAAGTATCAAGGGACCAAAGCCTAAAAGTTTTGGGTTTAGGGTAATGAGTGATTGTGAGTGCAAACAAGTGCCTTAGCCCTAGAACAATACCCAGGGTCAACCCTAAGGCCCAATAGTCCTAAGGGTGACTCATCTTGAGTTTCCCTCATAGTGACCCAATCTACTAAGTGCTAAAGGTTATGACCAATATGTGGAACTTCAAGTTGAGTAGAGAAGAGTTTGAAATTTCTAATTGTGAGGGCTCTTTGTCTAGTTTTCTAAGAATAGTCAATAGAAAAGTCCTATGGCTAGACCTTAGGCTACTAAAGAGGAAAAACTGAACCTCAACCAGAAGTGAGGTCAACAAATGGACCCCAATAGGTGTGGTGTGCTGGGCAAGCATACCGTGCGTATTGGCGTTGACCGAGGAGATCAACAAAAACCAATACAAACTCCTAAGTCAACAGACCCGGAAGTATGTGTAGAGTTGTGTGTGTGTTTTTTTTATTTCCGTCGGGGATACTGGCAAGTGCATATTTGATCAAGTCAAGAAGTAGGGACTTTCGCTGGGGATTGAAGAGTGGATTTTAAGTTATGAAATTTTAGAGATTTCTAGAGGATGACAATCAATACGCAAGTGCTAACCCCGAGGTGGGAATTGAAATTCAAGTATTAATTCCAAAAAGAAAGGAAGAGTTAGAATTTAGGTACCGACCTCAAAAGATGAGAATCAAAATTTAGGTACTGATCCAAAAATGAGATTTGAAATTTAGGTATCAATCTTAGAGAGAGAGAGTCAAAATTGAGGTATCGACCTCGAAAGGTGAGAATCATAATTTATGTACTGATTAAAAAATGTGAGAATTGAAATTTAGGTATTAATTCTGAGAAGAGAGTCGAAATTTAGTTATCGACCTCGAAAGATAGGAATTAGAATTTAGGTACTGATTTGAAAATGAGATTTGAAATTTAGGTATCAATCTCAAGGAGAGAGTCAAAATTTAGGTATCAACCTCGAAAGATGAGAATCAAAATTTAGGTACTGATCCAAAAATGAGATTTGAAATTTAAGTATCAATCTCATGGAGAAAGTCAAAATTTTGGTATCGATCTCGAAAGATGAGAATCAGAATTTAGGTACTGATTCAAAAATGAGGTTTGAAATTTAGGTATCAATCTCAAGGAGTGAGTCGAAATATAAGTATCGACCTCCAAAAATGAGAATCAGAATTTAGGTACTGATTCAAAAATGAGGTTTGAAATTTAGGTATCAATCTCAAGGAGTGAGTCGAAATATAGGTATCGACCTCCAAAAATGAGAATCAGAATTTAGGTACTGATTCAAAAATGAAATTTGAAATTTAGGTATCAATCTCAAGGAGAGAGTCGAAATTTAGGTATTGACCTCGAAACATGAGAATCAAAATTTAGGTACTGATTAAAAAAATGTGAGAATTGAAATTTAGGTATCAATTCCGAGAAGAGAGTCGAAATTTAGGGATCAACCTCGAAAGATAGGAATCAAAATTTAGGTACTGATTCAAAGATGAGATTTGAAATTTAGGTATCAATCTCAAGGAGAGAGTTAAAATTTAGGTATCGACCTCGAAAGATGAGAATCAGAATTTAGGTACTGATTCAAAGATGAGATTTGAAATTTAAGTATCAATCTCAGGGAGAGAGTCGAAATTTAGGTATCGAGTAGAAATGTGAGAATCAGAATTTAGCACTGATTCAAAAATATGATAATTGAAATTTATGTACAATTCCGAGAAGAGAGTCGAAATTTAGGTATAGACCTTGAAAGATAGTATTCAGAATTTGGGTACTGATTTGAAAATGAGAATTGAAATTTAGGTATCAATTACGAGAAGAGGGTCAAAATTTAGGTATCAACCTCGAAAGATAGAAATCAAAATTTAGGTATTGATCCGAAAATGAAAATTTAAACTTAGGTATCAATCTCAGGAGGAGAGTCGAAATTTAGGTATCGACCTCGAAAGATGAGAATCAGAATTTAGGTACTGATTCGAAGATGAGATTTGAAATTTAGGTATTAATCTCAAGGAGAGAGTCGAAGTTTAGGTAGCGACCTCAAAAGATGAGAATTAGAATTTGGGTACTGATTCGAAAGGATAATTGAAATTTAGGTATCAATTTAGAGAAGAGAGTCAAAATTTAGGTATCGACATCGAAAGACGAGGATCAAAATTTAGGTACTGACTCAAAAAGGAGATTTGAAACTTAGGTATCAATCTCAGGGAGAGAGTCGAAATTTAGGTTTCAACATCGAAAGGTGAGAATCAGAATTTACGTACTGATTCAAAAATGTGAGAATTGAAATTTAGGTATCAATTCCGAGAAGGGAGTCAAAATTTAGGTATCGACCTTGAAAGTTAGGAATCAGAATTTTGGTACTGATTCGATGATGAGATTTGAAATTTACAAAGAGCTTGTGGTGTTGAATTTGCAGAAGTGTGTCATGTGGAAATGTTGATTTTGTTGAAGAAGATTTGTAGAGCTTTGTGTAGTTTTGTGCTGAATGCAAAATTCCGCGGGGATGTGAAGAGAGTTAATGCAGATAAAGATGGTTGTGCTGCGAGCATAAAGAGTAAGAAACTCTGAAAATGAGAGAATCCACTCAATAGATTTTTATCACATTTAATTTTTCAAAATATGTCTTTAAATTTTTAATATTAATTGGTTGATTTTTTTAAGTGTGTAATTTTCAAAAATTTTTTATTATGTTTAGGTTAATTACAAAATTTTCACCCGGTCATAGACATTTGACCACATAGATAACCCTAAAACAATCAGAGTTTGCAAAGTTTTAAAGCAAGCAGAGGCAAGCGGCGTCAAGTTGCGTAATAAGTTTTTAGATATCATCCGTTTATTGGTAACATAGGTCTTTCGCCCTGGAAGTCTACTAATTGGTAGACTCCTCCTATATAGACCTTTTCAATGACAAAATTTTGGAAACACCCATTTCGGTCCAACAATAGAGGAATAGAATATGTAGTTTGGTCTAGATTGGGTTTTCATTCAAATCTTCTTTAATAGATTTAAACCCAAGGTTCCACTTTTTTGAAAATGAAGGGTTTCCCAGTGATGAACCAAGGGCCATCAATCAAGAGCATAAGAACATCATATTTAAAGTTAGAGTTAAAAGAAAAACCATCTGAAAGCGAGATAAGATCCACCAATCCCTTAAACTTCCGCATTTTAGAAATACCTTGAATCAAAGAGCAGTACAAAAGACGTTGTAACCCACGAGATCCAAGCTCCGACGTTTTGAGCATTCCAGAATCTCATCTTCCCAAAGATGACCTTGCTTATCTGATTAAAAATGTAGGAGAGGTTGAAGATGGAGGTGGTTGGCATTTGAGAGGCGATTAAGCCCTTTTAGTTCAAAGGGGGTGGAGTGCCTAGGATTGAACCACGAGAACCAGAGAGGTGAGGGAAATCTACAATACCCATAAAGGCAAAGGGCCTAGGCCCCTCGGCTAGAGAAAGAAGAGAAAAACCAAAAAAAAAAAAAAAAAAGTTTTAAAAAAAGGGTGAAAAAGAGAAGGACGGCGGCGGGGAGGAGAAACCCTAACAAAGCAAATGAAGCGCCCAATGAGCGTTTTCATTGTGTGCTCCTATTGTTACTTTTGGATTTCCAAATCTTTGTTATAATTACAAATATTGATCTTGAGTTGAAGCCTCTCAATTAATTAATTTATGAAGCACAAACACGCTTAAGGCGTGGCACCAGACTGGCTTAATTAGATTAATTTATTTTGTAATCCTGATAACAACTGGAACGGATCCGAATCCGAATCCCCAGAATTTGTATTCGATCCGATTACCCAGACATGACCGGCTCCCTCTATTTGTATTGTGCTGCAAATTGCTCCCAAAATCCAAATCCAACACGTCAAATAAAACGGCTGCCCTTCGCCCTTCTCCTTCTTCACTTTAACCGATCAGCGAAGAAACGAGCGCGAGAGGGCTAGGAATCATGGCGACGGCAACCTCGGCGTGGGCAAAACCCGGTGCATGGGCCCTCGAGTCCGAGGAGCACGCGGCCATGGAGAAGGGTGATATCTCCTCCGCCTTCCCCTCTCTCACCAACGCCGCGTCCGAACCCTCCGTTGACTTCCCTTCCCTTGCCAGTGCCGCCGCATCCAAGTCCTCGAAGAAGAAGAAACAACAGGTTCTATCTCTTGCCGAGTTCGCCGGCGGTAAGCCCGTCAGCCACGGCGCTGCAGCCCGATCCCGTCCCGCGGACGCTTTGTCGTCTTCGTATTCGAAGGGCCTCACAACTGATGAGCTCCTCCTTCTTCCTACTGGACCACGCGAGCGCAGCGCCGAGGAGCTTGAACGTTCATCCAGAGGCTTCAACTATTCTACATATGGCAACGGTGGTGCCCGAAGGGCGGACGGCTCTGCGTCTAGGGTTTCGGGGGATGAGTTGAGGAAGAATTCCTTGAATAGGGATTCTGGGCCTTCTCGTGCTGATGAAGTGGATGATTGGGGTTCGATGAAGAGATCGGCTGGGCCTCCTGAGAGGAGGGACAGAGGAGGCGGATTTTTTGATACACAATCCAGGGCGGATGAGGTGGACAGTTGGGTATCGAAGAGAGGCAGTGCTCCTCCCGCTGATGGCCTGAGAGAAAGGAGGGGTGGTTTTGAAATGTTTAGCAAGGACAGATCTGCGATGGGAGGGGCGGATTCTGATAGTTGGGGAAGGAAAAAGGAGGAAATCGTTCGGGCTGATTCGGATACATGGGGGAGAAAGAGGGATGGTGTTTCTAGAACAGATTCAGATAGCTGGGGGAGGAAGGAGGAAGCTAATGGTACTGCTGGTGGGCGACCAAGGCTTGTTTTGCAGCCTCGAACGGTGCCGCTGGCCAATGGCAATACAGATGGTCATGGTGAATTAAATCAGGGGGAGAAGCATGCTTCAATTGTTAATAGCAAGGGTTCGAATCCATTTGGACTTGCTTGCCCCAGAGAGGAAGTGCTGGCTGAGAAGGGACATGATTGGAAGAAGCTTGATGATAAGGGACTGATGACCTTGCTTCAGGAAGAAAGGGTCGTGGCTTGGGTAATGGAAGTTTGTCTGAGGATCGCACTCAGGGAAGTTGGAGGAAGGAAGTTGCATCTGATGCTCCTGCTTCAATGTCTGGTTTTCTAAGCCCACCTAATATACACTGATTCTGTTTTATCAATTTGTGCTATTTGCTTATTTTTTGATTTCTTTGCTTTTAATTTATTTATATGTTGCAGCTCCTAGCATGTCTGCTTTGATAAAATAGTTTCCTGCCTTCTAATTTCATTTAACTTATGTAGCATGTCTAATTCTATGAAAGGAAAAAAAAAAAAAACTATGACATCTTATTTAGCATGTCTAATTCTATGAAAGGAAAAAAAAAAAAAAAACACTATGACAGGGTTAAGTTGCTCCATTTTTTGTCTGGACTTAATATTAATACTTTAAATTAGAGTTTGCCCTCTTTACTTATCCTTTAATTGAGTCTTCTATCTAGCCATCATGAAAGTGATTCAAGTGTTTGCTTGTCTGATTACTGGTTTTGCTGATAATTTTTTTTAAAATAGTGGTGTTAGTTTCTATTGTTGCATCGATGTCTTATTTTTATTAGTGGCTGCACATTTTGTGCTCCCTATCATTGTTAGTTGTTGCATTTTAGAAAAATGTACTTTGCTTTGTAGAATCATAACATCTCAATACAAATGTGGTTCTACACACAATTACTTTGAAAAAAGAATGATTAGCAACACAATTAAGGCAGCCTATGACATTCAATTCAGTGATTGAGCATGATAGTCATCTCCTTGGGATTTCATATGTTTATTCTAATAAAGTGAATGATCATAATTTTAAACTCAGAGGCAACAATGGAGGAATGGCTTTTGAAATAATGCCAAGCAAATCAAATTCTCATATATGTATTCATATGCTCAAATGCTCTGGGTTCACGCGAGTTACCTTTCGTTCCAACATGGTCTACGACATTGTGTGAATATGGATCATCCTCGTGGATCGACCACTCATACACAATATGTCTACCTTGTCTGGTTGGGGAAAGAAGAGACATCATTACCATTACTCGAGAGTCTTCCATGGCCCTTTTCCATTCAATTGGTGACGTTTAAAGGAACAAACAAATAGGTGTTCTTTCCAAAAATGCCTTAAGAAAGCCTGCCATATACGATTTCTAATTGCAAAAACATGCAATTTCTCGCTTCCGTATTGTTTCACTCCAAAACGACCACACTCAAGGCCGAGCTTCATAGTTTCCACCACACATATCGTGCGATTAACATTAGGCTGCCGATCAACCAACTCAACACATAAGTGCTTGCCCTTTTTGGTTCAATAGGATCGTTGTAACCGGATGTTAACCATACATTACTAGTCTGTAAACTAAACAAAACCTCAAGATCTTTAACAATCATGAGAGCAGTGACATCCACTGGTAGTGAATGTCATGTGCTAAGCCTCCTAAACTATTAAGATCAATCAACACCCCTGCCTTCTAGGATTGGATTCTTGAAGGTGTCGGGGGTCAAATTCCATATGGCATTCAACTCAAAAGCAAGCTTCAAGGAAATCTTGTTGTAGGATGGACTATTGTTAAGGTTGGACTTGAGATAAATATGGAGTTTGTGGTTAGAGATGTCTATGAAGTCTTTTCTAGGAGGAGGAGGTGAAGGCCAAACTTTTTTATGACTAAACTTTAATATGTAGCAAAGGCCATAGGATTAAAGACAACAATTGAGGTTGTAGCACCGATGAAGGCCTTTGTACGACGAGAGAACTAAAGAGTTTGTTGTCGTTAGTAACGGTGATGCCTACATCCTAATGGAGATTGGACTTCAACATACTTCCATGGTCGTGTCCTTTCACCCCTATCGTTATTCTCCATGCAATTTTGAGGGAAAGACAACTTAACTTCTTTTCTTGTCCTTTTTTTTTCTTTTCTTTCATCTGTGGCGTACAATTGTGTAGTATTTTTAGGATGAAGAAAAAAGGCTCATAGTATTAATTCAATTCAAAATGTTTGCTAGGTCATTAGTAGAACTAATTCATGCTATTTTAGGATTTATGAAACTTATTCAAGCCCATTTAAAACACCTATTTGATCTTTTAAATAATTTTTGTACTATAGTAGATTGGTTTGAGCTTTGGTATGAGCATTGCTAACAAGGGTAACTCAATTGGATTAAAGTGATGACAATTTGATCTCTTAGAGGTATGAAGGAATCTTGTTTGCTTCCATTATCAATTTATTTTTTAATTGAGCTCGATAAATGCTCTCTACATTTGAACTTTTTATAAAAAAATTAAAAAAAAATATATTTGAATTTTTTACTCATTTTGTCGGTTTGATTGAAACAATTGAACATAGTTATTAGCCAGACTTTCAGATTTTGATGTAGACTTCTTTGCTGGAAATTTTTCTTGTGATCTATATATTATTTGTATCTGTAATGAGTATATCCAACTTTGGGACTTCATAATGCTATTTGTGGTAGCGACTTCGGTTGATACACTTATACATATTTACCTAAAACTTTATGAATTAGTTATTTAGCGGTAACCATTTGGGTTGGACTCTCCAATATTCCTAACTTTTTTGGGTAATGTTATGAGGCTGTAATGTGGGCCTTGCCTAGGTCGAATCCTTGTAACCTTAATTCAACCTAATTGTCGAGACATCCACCTAATTTTATAGTGTATTCTTCCCAATAATTTGGAACTAATTCTTGAAGGCTACCCACTATTAAAATTTATTTATTCTCCTCACCCATCATGGAAGAAACATATTAGTTATGAATTTGCTTCATTAATTTCTCAAAATTATGGTTTAGAATGAATTCATCTTTTATATAATCAAATCATCAATATAAACATGAATCTTTACATTGGGATGCAACTAGGGTTAGACCTTTTGTCATCTGTACTTGATCTTATCAATTGGTATATATCTTTGTACGCAGATTCATGCAATTTTATGAGTGTTTTGCCTTTTATGAATCTTTAATAGGTTGGGCACAACATACTAAGTATTACACATATTAATAATTTTGTTACTTGAGAAGCTTTCTTAATATTGAAATATATAATATTCATATATTGTCGTTTATTTTCTATGATTTGATTTATAATAACATTTTCAATTTTGTTTGATCATATAACCAATTTATGATCTTTTAAACTTTTGATTATGAGGTAGTACAAAATTTATTAGTTATTTTCAAGCTGTGCATGAGTAAATACGGTTAACTTTAACCAAATGCATCTGTCCTCAATAGGTTATTTTCGAGGCAAGTTCAATTTTTATTTTATGTGATTGAGTTGATTGAGCTTAAAAGTTGAGATTAGTTAGGGTAAAGATAATCCTTTGTTGATCCACATACATAGTTATTGAGATATGATTTTTGTGTACTTAATCATACTTTAGGGTTTCTTCTGTGGTGTTGACTTTATAAAATTGTGGCAGTAATGCCCGGTATGAAAGTCAGGTCTTAAATTTTATACCTTGATGTCTTTTCTAATGTAAGGCGGAAGTGGGTTGTTAATAGTAGGGCTTGTGCTTCCATAAGTAATATCAATGACATCAAAGCTAAGACAAAATTAGTCGGTTCACTATTTATACCTTGTGGATAAATTCCATAAATCTTGTTAGCGGATGATGCAATATGAGGTGTGGAAAATAAAGTAGTAAGCTTCATTTGGCTTCATTTTCTCTATTGACCAAGTTAACGACATCTTCATTTTGTAGGCTATACGACTAAACAATTTAGCTAAAACTTAAGGCCTCAAACACTCCCTATCCAATCCCCTCTCTCTCTCTCTCTCTCTCTCTTTCTCTTTCTCTCCCGCTCTCGCTTGCTTGTTCACTTACATATGCATCTTTGTATAATTCAATGCATTTTAAAAATAACTAAATAGTCTTAACATTTTTAGATCAAAATATACACATAAAAATGGTTAGGGTGGTATGCGGTCTTAAATTTTCTACTTTGATATCTTTTCTAATGTATGGCGGAAGTGGGTTGTTAATAGGAGGGCTTGTATTTCCATAAGTAATATCAATGACATCAAAGCTAAGACAAGATTATGGTTCACTATTTATACCTTGTGGATAAATTCCATAAATCTTTTTAGCGGATGATGTGATATGAGGTGTGGAAAATGAAGTAGTAAGCTTCCTTTGGCTTCATTTTCTCTATTGACCAAGTTGACGACATCTTCATTTTGTAGGCTATACGATAAACAATTTAGCTAAAACCTATCCAATCCTCTCTCTCTCTCTTTCTCTCCCTCTCTCTCTTTCTCTTTCTCTCCCGCTCTCGCTTGCTTGTTCACTTACATATGCATCTTTGTATAATTCAATGCATTTTAAAAATAACTAAATAGTCTTAACATTTTTAGATCAAAATATACACATAAAAATGGTTAGGGTGGTATGCGGTCTTAAATTTTCTACTTTGATATCTTTTCTAATGTATGGCGGAAGTGGGTTGTTAATAGGAGGGCTTGTATTTCCATAAGTAATATCAATGACATCAAAGCTAAGACAAGATTATGGTTCACTATTTATACCTTGTGGATAAATTCCATAAATCTTTTTAGCGGATGATGTGATATGAGGTGTGGAAAATGAAGTAGTAAGCTTCCTTTGGCTTCATTTTCTCTATTGACCAAGTTGACGACATCTTCATTTTGTAGGCTATACGATAAACAATTTAGCTAAAACCTATCCAATCCTCTCTCTCTCTCTTTCTCTCCCTCTCTCTCTTTCTCTTTCTCTCCCTCTCTCTCTCGCTCTTGCTTGCTTGCTCGCTTACATATGCATCTCTGTATAATTCAATGCATTTTGAAAATAACTAAATAGTCGATCATTTTTAGATCAAAATATACACATAAAAATGGTTAGGGTGGTATGCGGTCTTAAATTTTCTACTTTGATATCTTTTCTAATGTATGGCGGAAGTGGGTTGTTAATAGGAGGGCTTGTATTTCCATAAGTAATATCAATGACATCAAAGCTAAGACAAGATTATGGTTCACTATTTATACCTTGTGGATAAATTCCATAAATCTTTTTAGCGGATGATGTGATATGAGGTGTGGAAAATGAAGTAGTAAGCTTCCTTTGGCTTCATTTTCTCTATTGACCA